GATGCTGAGGCAGATATGTCGGAGCAGTCGTTTGACCGGCAAAATCAAGGATGCATCGGCCATGAATAGTCCGCTGGCGAAGGCTTTCACATATCTCCTACCGGATGGCACCACTGCTGCAGTATCAGATGATGAGACGGACTTGTACTTGAAGTTGCTCAAGCAGACCCAGTAATGGGTGACTTGCTTGTAACAGTCACATTACTCTCGGAGTCTCGGATGGGAGCCTAAGGTCCGAATATGGACGGAAAGTCACCTATCGGGTCATATGGCATGCTTCGCTTTGTAAAACTGAGCGTCCGAGGGTTTTTCATATTATAAATGCAGACTGCGTGACCCATTGTCACGACCATGATGCAATCGTGACAGATTTACTTCCTGACCCACTGATGGTCGCCGTGAAAGGACATAGTGTCCTTTTTCCTGCCGTCCGGAAAAAGGACACCTGCTTTGCCCGCCGTGCCAGGGTTTGCGCACTGCTTTCGGTTTTATGGTTGCTGCCTGCTCGTCAAATGTACGAAATGAAGTTCTACACAGAATGCTTCCGATGCAACCCGCCTCCCTGACGTAAAATCATGCCGTGAATACCACAGTTTCCGGTACGGATGCAGACTCATGCAGTCTGAGAAGTCGACAATGGGCAAACTTGCCCGATCGCAGTACTTACTACTGCACGTCTTTTCCGAAGGATGATTTTGGTTATGCTCTTAGGTATGGATATCATCTCGCTCTCACACCGGGATGCCATTTGGTTCGAATTCGCTGATAAATATCTATCTATCATTGACGTGTCAGAATTACATCATACTGATGAACTACATCCAGAAGTCCAGGCCACTCGGGAGTGCTGCTGCTGCTGCTCCTACTGGACGCTGTGGTCAGGATACAGTCAGGCGGTTACTCCATCTGGCTCGACCTTTACTACTCATGCCACTCGCAGCAATACAGCCACGGCTCTCTTCCTCTTGCTCGCAGCCCAAGGCCCCAAGCTGTGTCATACCAGGGGATACATATAGGTGATATAAACGTGGCCTGATATCGCGCCTTTTACGGAATACTGATCAATCTGGCGGATACTGCGGTCACCAAGGCTCGTGACCCGCGAGCATAGGGCCACTCGCTGGCACGAGCCCCCATCGTAGTAGGACAGGAGTGCGTGCCTCGTCAATCAGTGGTCCGACTCTTGACTCGCGGATCGCCCTCACCAAGTATACAAGCGCGGTACTAGTCCCATAGAAGCCATGTGTGCCCTAATCGTTGCCTTCATATAAGAAAATGAATCTGCCACGATCGGCGTGAAGTCACTTAGGGCGACGACACAGATCGTACGATGCTTGCAATGGAGAGAATGTTATACGGCGTGAGTCTTGGATTTTTCTTGGAACCACGTTCATATTTAGTCAGCATCCCATCATGTGTTTGACCTTCTTCGGAGCCAACGAAACCGTATCTGGTCGAGGAAGTTCTCGGTAGTCCCGCACCGTGACGGAGGTTCACGTCCATGGCACTGACGTGCTGATCCTATCTTTCGTGGGATTGAGCTGAGCTGACAATACTTGGTGATCAGTATCAACGGGGCATAGGACGTGTGGGAGTGCACGATATCCCATGCGACCGCTTGCCGCGTATGAAGGGGGCGCATGGGCAGACTCTTGCATTGGAGGCTGGTGTTATGCCCTAGTAACGAGCGAATCGACTTGGCTCCAAGCCTACGACGTCTTCGGTAAGGCTGTGAGCTACAGCTAAACAGAGGGCAATCATTGCCAGTGCACATTACCACCGATCTTAAAGCTAAGATTGATCTCTAAGGAAGCACTCTTTACATCGCCCCTCCTGCCTTTATTATCGAACGAGGTTCACCTATGTTCGCGGATGGTTAGGATACATTGCACAAGCAATGAGTGAAAGCAGCCCCCTGGCAATACGCTGAGTATACTGCGTCATGCATGCAGCACCATTGTACGCTCGCGCCGCAGGATCGTAAATACAAACGGTGACATGAAGAGGAGTGCGACTCTCGCGGCTTCAGCTGTAGTATTATTGCCACTAGTCTTCGACAGACTTGGGAATCACCAAGGTCCAGCCACAACCCGAACCTGTATCCCACACGGGTATAATTTCGGTACGCAAGTGAGACATTAGGGGCTCTCCTATCTTCGCTTCGCGACATCCGTTCACCCTCTAACTGCGTCTAAACTATAGAATAGCAGTCACACTGCAATAATATACAATCTGCAAAAGCTGACATCCCTTTCACGCTTCACGAAATGACGCCCCCCTTCTTGAAATTCCACCCGAGCTTCTCGTACGACCACCCAAACACGGACCCGTCGCTCGAGTGGTACCCGCACAGGCTGCGGTGCATCCCTGGCTTCTTGTGGATCGCCGACACGGCCGCCATGTCCTCGTCGTGCAGTTCGATCAGCTGTGCATTTCATCAGAAGGGGTAGGGAGAAAGGCAGAAATAGGGGAAGGACACTGACGTCGATGTTCGCCTTCATCCTGCCCTCGTTCTCGCTCTTCGGCAGCACGACGACCCCACGCTGCACGAGCCAGCTCAGCGCGATCTGCGCGGTGCTGACTTGTTTCCCGAGGGATTTTGTATACTTTTGCGCAATGGGCTCGAGGTAGGGCATGAAGCGGTGGTCGCCTTGGCCTGAGCGGGAGGGAGTAAGAGCAAGAAAGAGGGGAGGGAGGGAGGGACAAACGGACCTAGGGGAGAGTAGGCTTGCATGACGATCCCTTTTTGTTTGCAGAATTGCAGAAGCTCTTCTTGCGGGAGGCAGGGGTGCATCTCAACCTACAACAGCTGTCGTGTCAGCAAGTTGTGTAGTATATGGGCAGACGGCGAAACCGTAGCAGATAGGACCGGAGAAGTGCAGCCGGGTTAAGCGTACCTGGTTAACAGCAGGCACGACCTTCACGTGCGGCAAGAGCTCCGAAAGAGTCTTGATGGAGAAGTTGGAGACACCGATAGCTTTACATTTCCCTGCAAACAGAAGGGCCCGTGAGCATAGCGTGGTTGAAACTGAAAGGCGCGTCCCGATTCACACCTGTGTCCAGCAACTTCTCCATCTCCTTCCACGTCTCCACGAAAGTCGCGTTCTGCTCCGCGGAAAATAACCCTCCTTATGATTGTTTCTCGTCAGCGACCGTTACCGCCCAGTGGAGGGAGGACGAACCTCTGGACGCCTGCGGCCAGTGCATGAGGTATAGGTCGACATAGCCGATGTTGAGCTCCGCGAGGGACTCTTCGAACGCCTTGCGCACGCGGTGGTGCCCGTCGTTGCTACCGGGCGATTTCTATTAGGTGGAAAATGTGATACGGGAGGGAACGGTCCGCGTACTTGAGTTTGGTGGTGACGAAGATTTCCTGGCGTGGGATGCCCGAGTCACGGACTGCCTGACCTACGGCTGCTTCGTTGCCTATGAGAGGTAGGTGTAAGTCGCGTGAGCAGTGGGAAGTGTGAGGGGGCCGGCGTACCGTACATCTCGGCCTGCAATCATGGGTGTGAGGTGAGGCATTTCGGACATGCGAAGACTGGCCGGGAGTACGTACTGTGTCAAAGTGCCTGTACCCGACCTGCGAACATCAGCATTCGGTGTGCACACCTGCATGGCGATCTTCATACCTTTAGTGCAGTCTTGCACATGTTGTATACAGACTTGTGACTGGAGTAGTTGGTCCAGCACCTGCGATCGAACAATGATTGCGATCAGACCTGAGAGTAAGATTGCATAAATGAGTACTGACCCCATTCCAACGCTGGGAATCTTGAGGCCATTGTTCAGGGTGAATATGGGGATGTTGGCCGCCATCGTCGTCGGTCAGAAAGTTAGTTAGGGAGTTGCAGACGATACAGTATAAGTAAGAAGAGCAGAGTGGGCCATGTCTCACGATGAACGAATGACGTCGGGAAAGAAAGCCCACTCGACTTCCGAGTGCAGCTGCACTGCTGGACAGGCTCGAAGTTATAATTAGCGTTGTAAGAGGGCCGGCGAATGCCGTAAGGACTCACTTAAGTACAGATATTTGGCTTAGTTTACGTGAGGTACTGTAAATCCGTACATTGACGATGGCGGAGAGACGGAAGTATGGATTGTCCCTTGCTCTCGCTGTCTGGCGGACCTGAATCTACCTGAATGCACCGATTCAGTGGGCACAGATCTTCGTTCCATGCTTGCACTTTGTCGTGCCATCGCCCCGAGCTCCCCCCGAGGAGGTCAGAGTCCGAGTGAGACGGATCTCAACAAGAGCCTCAAGCTTGCTCTCCATCATGCTTGCAGGCGACGTCAGGCGACGTCCGAACGTCCGATCGTGCCGCCGGATCATCTTTCAGTCGACACGGTATCTGAAAGACAAAATAAATGACGCATTGCACTGCTGCCTTTCGACATTTTCTATTTCTTGGGCTCGCCTGTGTAATTTTCTGGAGAATTTGCTCCTGTATCTTGTCTACTTTACTGACCAAACGTCCGACGATGCATGCCTGCAGAAGACTGCGCCTCCGCTCTTCGATTGCTCGCAATCGGAAGCCCGAGCTTTATCCGCGAGCCACAATCATATCAGCAAGGCCATTTTCTGCCTCTGCAATTGCTCACAATGCAGCTACCGAGACGAAAGCAGCCGAGGAGACACAGGATGTCAATACGATGGATAAGCTGCTCAAGGTGATCAGTCAGTCGGCGATCCGTTATCATACACTCGCTCCAGGTCGCTAAAGGTGCATCTCAGGAAAGAAGTCGAATCCAGCCTATAGCTCGTCAGTCTCCAAATGATAAATCCAGTTATTTCGTCCAACCAAACCCCCTGTTAGCATAATGCCCATGCGCTCCCCTCTACTCTGGTCGGAGGCCCTCCTCAAAAGCGACACCTCCCCTGCCCCTCCCACCGGCGACGCCCGCCCACCCGCGCTCGCCCCGCGCAACATGCACGACTCGTACTGCGAGCAACTTCTCCCCTTTGCATCCGACCCCGCGCTGCTCGAGCAGTACACCAACGCCTCCGGCGGCATCCAGACCGGCAAGCTCATGGAGCACCTCGACTCCCTCGCGGGGAGTATCGCGTACAAACATATGCTGGGGCCGGGTGTGGAGACTGTGGGCAGTGTGCAGGAACAGGGGTTCTATATTGTCACTGCGAGCGTGGACCGGTAAGCTGCTGATCGTGCCAGCGCGCCTCCGGAACCTCCCCACTGAGTGCTATGGTAGGTTGGACATGCTCGCACCGCTATCCCCTGTGAGAGATATTCGCCTCAGCGGGCAGATCATCTACACCGGCAAAAGCTCGATGGAGGTCGCTGTGCAGATGGAGGCACTAGACAAGGACGGGCACGAGGAGACAGTGCTCCTAGGTACGCCGCGACTCCCCCTTCTTCTGCAAATATTATCCGGCTCATGGAGTATACCCAGGCCGATTCTCGATGGTGTGCAGGGACGCGTACACACACAAAGCGCACCCCGTGCATCCGCTCGTGGTCAACACCCCCGAGGAGCGCGCGTTGTTTGCCATGGGCGAAGGTCAGTATCCGCCTCTTCCACTGTGCACGTTGACCTCACCGTGTTGTTTGGACAGCGCACAAGAACCGCCGCCAGTCGATGGCGTCACGCTCTCTCGACCGTGTGCCACCGAGTTCCGCTGAAGCACAGGTCCTCCACCAGTTCTACCTCAAGTACGGCAAGGATGACAATGGGAATCTGGGGGAGAGCGAGCGCGTGTGGATGGGCGATACGAGGCTGGAGAAGTGCATGCTCATGTTCCCGCAAGAGCGCAAGTAAGTTTCGCGATTTTGAGGTCTGCACACCTCCGATGCTGACGGTGGACGATGCCAGTGTGCACCAGAAAGTATTCGGAGGTACATTCTCACTCCTCCTGTCCATGCGACCCATATTGACGTTGACATACAGGATACCTCATGCGCCTTGCATACGAGGTTCGCTCGACTCTCCCGCTGTCTATATGTTAGCATGAGCTCACCGCTGCGCTCCAGCTGGCGTTCACAAACGCGCGCCTCTTCACGCGTGAACATGTCCGCTTCCTCTCGCTCGACGGTATCTCCTTCGCGCGTCCCGTCCCCATCGGCTCCGTCCTCCGGCTCACCTCGCACATCGTGCACTCCACTAGCTCACAGCAGTTCCCCACCTTAGTCGTACGTCCTCCTGCCAGTGGTACTGGCCCCCTCCTCTGACCATGTCGTAGCACGCGCTCGTCCAAGCGAACGTCGTGGACGTCAAAACTGGCTCCGAGCAGACCACAAACGACTTCCGCTTCACGTGGTGCCGCGAGGAGGGCGCGCCGCTCAAGCGGCAGGTCGTCCCCAAGACGTACCAAGGTCAGTCTATGCGCTTACGTCTGTTTTCATTCCATAGTTAGCTCAATTCATGTGCTTCCGCAGAGGCTATGTATTGGCTCGACGCAAAACGTGCTTTGGAGATGGGAGCAGAGATCAGAGGGCTGCGCAGACTCTGAGTGATTCTACGTCTGATGTGCCATTTCATGAATAGTATTGATCGGTATAATGTTTGCATGTATAGACGTATCTTATGTTCCTTGTTAGTGGCTTCATTGACGTCACTCATCTAATAGAGATGGTGATAGCGGGGACAGCGGACCACTGTCAGTCTGAAACATCTTGCTCTTGATGTTCTGCATCAGAACTGCCTCCCGTGTCCCATTCTGATTTCTATGAGACAGACCTAGTGATGTATGACTGTGTGAGATCAGTGATAATCTCTGGGTCAGTAAACTTCTTGATCCTCACGGGTTCGCCTTGCTAATATGAAATCCGGACGATTGAGGGACAAGCAGTTCGAATACCTGCTACACCCATGACACAGAACAGAGGTCCAATGCTGTGTGGCTTTTGTGGCTGAGACGGTGACCCGACCGCACGGGTCTCACGTGATCGTGACGAACACGACTCGTAACACTTCGGTGGGTAACGCCCCGTGGTCTGCATCTTTCCGCCTTTTGTCGGGGCCAGCCAGCCTAGGACCCAAGAGCAATGCCCAGAGCAGCAGCAGCAGCAGCGTCGAAGGCGAAGGCGAAGGCGAAGAGAAAGGACACCAGCGAGGAGGCAGACGAGGTCCTGGTACTATCGCAGCAGTCAGGTAGCAGCGATGACCATGGGTACACGTTACACCGGTTTGACCGGGCGGGAAGCACTGACTCTTTTACTGCGTCTGAAGTAATATGTTGGCTGTAGTTGCCCAGCAGATGCAAGGTACCGGTGGAATATCAAGTAACAGATGCTGCTGGCGCTGCTTCTCTTACCGTCTTCTCTAGTCTCCTGGGAGAAGAAGAAAAAGGACAAGGAGGCCAAGTTCCTACAAGTAGCTAAACGGGAGGTCGACAAAATAGTGAGCTCACTCAGTGTAGCATAATACTCGAACATCGACCCGTATCTGCCAGGTTACTCAGCACGCAGACCGCTTTTCCAACGCGGTTGAAGAGATGTCGGTGACGTTCCACATTTTAATGTCATTAGCCTAATGGAGATCCGCAGAAACACTGTCTACGAACAATTCGTTGCCGAGTATGCTGCAGCCGAAGACGAGATCAGGGCGCTTTGGACCGCTATCGCAAAAGAGCAGCAAGCATTTATCGTTTGTCTTCCTCACGGATTCTTCTCTGTCCACCTGATATCTCTTTCGTTCGTTTCAGGAACTTGCTATGGAGAAGAAAGAGTCAGGCTTGCACCGCGAAAAAGAGAGGGAAGAAAGCCAGCTCGATGGTATGGCATCCTGCAAGAGGGCATGCGAAGGTAAGAGCAGTACCCTAATTGTTCCATCTGATTTTGAGACTGTGTAGATCTGGGCTCACTCATTACTTCCCTGACGGGTGCGCTTTGACTGCGTCGGATGAAGCGTTTTATGTCCCTAAACTGCCGTGCCGAGACGTAGGTCCATGTATCTGTTCTTGTCCTTGTAGCCCAGAACCTACGTCGTCGGCGACAGTGCTCGCCCGTCATATATGTATACTATGTGGTAGACTTGATACTATATCATGTATCAAAAACCGTAATCCTCGTGGAATAGCGCCACGCAACAACCCGTGGTGGCGAAAAGGTGTGGCTTCGGCTGGCACAGCCACCATCGCCAAGCCACAATGAGATCGCAGGTAATTTGCGGCTGTGCAGGCTCCCCACAACACCCGAGTCGCCACAAACATGAGTCCGTTGGACGAAGAGAAGCGGAGGGAAATTGGGCAGGTCGCACTCGTCTTACACTACGTCTAGTGTGATTAACTAACACGCCCAAAAGCATTTCGTATTCGGCTTCCATGGCCACGATGTCAGTTCGGATATCGAGAGGCTGATTCGAGAATACTACGTTGGGTACGTGCAAATCGTAGTCCTTTCTCTTAGCCTGAGTTGATCCCAATCCAAGGAATGTTATCCTGATGAAGCGAAACGTCCAGAGTACGCGATGTCCTATACATCCGCCTCAGCCCACTCACCAGACCGATAAGGTCTCCAGCAAGTCCGGGATCTCGTGGCAAAACTACAGAAGATCGCCAAAGACGCTGGGCATAGTACGCCACTTATGATCGGTACCGATCAAGAGAACGGTATGTATGGCGTCGCACGATCCGTTAGTGATATATGCACCAGACGATCCTGATATTGGGTAAGGTTTGGTATCTGCATTCAGTGCGGAGATGGCAGGAACGCAGTTGTATGTTCGTCATTTCACTGACGCCGATAGTTAACGTCATGTACTACAGCCCAGGAGCTATGGCCATTGCCGCTAGTCAGTCGACAGACCTGGCTGAACAAGTCTCACTCGCCTCAGCTAAAGAGCTTAGGCTCGCTGGGATATCCTGGGCGTACAGTCCAGTGTGCGATGTCAACTCCGATCCTCGTAACCCTGTCATAGGTGGGCTGATTGTCTTGATAGTACAATATAGTTAATCAATCCACATTGCGCCATCGTCAGGTGTACGCTCATTCGGAGATGGTACGAAATACGTCTGTTCCACCGATGCATTTCTCTGAGTGACCTCTATTCAGATCCCTACGAAGCAGCTAAATATGCGGCGGCAGTATCTCGCGGTCTCACATCCGGAGGCGTTGCTCCTTCATCAAAACATTTTCCTGGCCACGGGGACACCCATGTTGATTCTCACTTGGACCTCCCGAGGATCTACAAGATACAAGAACAGCTGTCAGCTACGGAGCTTATACCATTCGAGAGACTGATAAAGGACGAAATTGCGACCATTATGACTGGCCACATGGCATTACCTCTCATCGTAGGAGATGACACGCCCTCATCACTGTCCAGGATGATAACCACCGACCTGTTGAGGAGCAAGCTAGGATACAAGGGGGTTGTAGTGACTGACTGCTTGGAGATGGAGGCAGTGGCGATCAAATATGGTTCAGAAGGGGGAGCCGTTCTCAGTTTGCAAGCCGGCGCCGACATCGCGATGATATGTCACCGGATTGATCGACAGGTCGGCGCACTAGAGGCGACTTACAGAGCTATCAACGAGGGCAAATTGTTGATGGACGATATAGTACGCAGTGGCGATAGAATCAAGCAGCTGAAACAGAAGTTTACTGGCTCCTGGGAGGAAACCTTCGACAGACTAGGGCACCTCGACTTGGCTGTGCTGAGCCAAATGAAGGAAGCAAATGCGCAGCTCAGTCGCACCGCATATGCAGCTTCCACGGCGTTGATGACCCAGGAAAAAGGTACCTTGCCCCTTGCAAAGGACGGCTTGGTACTGGTGTTCACCCCCCAGGTCGAGCGGATCAATCTTGCGGTGGACGACGCAGACGGAGTTCTCCGCGACAAGAACGGTCGGCTGAGGAACACCGCTGGTCCGTCGTACCTCGCCTTCGCAAGATCTGTCTCGGACCGTGTCCGGGCGGACCACATCGTCTACGGTCCGTCTACCGAGCTGCCTGAGGGTCTGAAGGCGGCTAGCGGGATTATCTTCGCAACTCGCAATGCACATACCAGCGTGTGGCAACTGGAGTATCTGAGACGCGTCAGAACAGCGTACTCTTCGCTACCCATGGTGCTTGTGACAACCTGCGCACCGTACGATTTCATGGATGCGCGAGACTTGCGATCGTTGCCCGTGCTCGCCACTTTCGAGTTTACTGTGCCGGCATTGCAGGCCGCTACGGAAGTGATATTCGGGGAGCGTTTGCCGACGGGGCGAGCACCAGTATCCACACATTTTCTGGCGAATTAGTATTGTTGTACAGCTTGAGTGAACTTGTATGTCCATGGTAATTGTAGAGGAGCAGGTTCCGTAACTTCCGGCCCAAGGGGCGTTACTGTATATGGTCACGTGTCTCAGCCAACACCGCCATGCTCAGTTACCGCCACCGTACGCTGCAACGTCTGCTCGCTAACTGATATACCTGCCCGCCTCCTCTCTCTTCTACCTCGGGCATCGTCCTGCGCGGTATACCGATGAAGAAGCTGTTCACCAGGGAGAAAGTCCCAAAGGCTCCGAAACAGCCCGCTACTGCTCGCGATGCGGCTTACCCTGCTCAGACGCCGCTTGGGGAGGTACGCTGGCTATTTACGTGCAAAGCACTAGCCATAACCTTAGACGCCATGCTTGCAGGATCATACGTTCCAATATTCACCAACCCCGCAGTATCACGAGCCTACACCAGGCCGGAATGCACGACGCTCGACCAGTGATGAACGTTGGGAGGTAGTGCAGCCGTTCGAGGATGGATCTCCGACTCATCTACCCCGACCTCCGCTTTTAACGGACTCAAGAACGTCCTCCCTTGCCTCATTGATATCCTCGGGCACGCCACCTGGAGCAACCCCTCGCGCAGTCTCTCCTATGAATCAACCGCACCCTCGACAGAAGTCCCCGCCTCTCAGTGATCGCGAGCCTCAAATGCTGCGAAAGAAACCTCCAAATGCTGGCACGGGAGCTGCTGCCCTGGGGATACTGAAAGCTCTTGATCCTCATCCTGAAGGGCCTGGCTACCACGACGATACCTCTAATGCGTCTGATGGGCAGGTGAAAGAAGAGAAGAAAGAGAAGAAGGGGTTCTGGGACCGAGCAGGTGCAGGGCTACGTGACATGCGAGATAGGGAGAAGGAGAAGGAGAAGCTGAGAGAGAGTCATAAGAACCAGGATCAAGGCCATGAGCTGACCAGGATGATAGGTGCGTTCCTTGGTCCACTCTGCTATGATTCATGTCTCTCATCCGATACTGCACCTCTATGAACTTTATTGATATCTCCCCATTCAATCCCCCGCTCCGAATCATCTACTTGCGCATGTCGACGCCATGTTGTTAACCTGGTTAAAGGGTGGCTCACGGCGACTGGATCCGAGGATTGGGCATATGTCCTTGATGCTTGTGAGAAGGCCTCTGCAAATGAGGTCAATGCAAAGGAAGCAGCCAAAGCCTTACGAAGAGAGTTCAAGTACGTCCTGCAACTTGTGCCGCGCCCCAAATCAGAGCATTGACGTCACCCTCCAGATACGCTGAACCTCCAGCTCAACTGTCCTCTGCACGGGTGAGTGCCATCATCTGCAAGGCGTAGCAGTTGTCCTGATAGGTACCAGCTATGGGCTATCATGCTTCGAAACTGCTCCGACGTGTTCATTACCCAATGCAGCTCGCGCAAATTCCTAGATACCCTGGACGAAGTCATAACGTCTCCTCGTACTTCACCTGTAGTCCGAGAGCGCTTGGTGGATATTTTGGGAGCTGCAACATACATGACCAGTGAGCTCAGATATCCAGTCGCGCGGCGATGCGCCTCTCAGTAAGCTAACATATTGATTGCTAGATGGTAAAGAGTCTAAATCTGAGCGGGACGGCTTCCGTGCTCTCTGGCGCAAAGTGAAGCCCGCGGACAAGCCCGACGAGGTAATTGAAAACATAGGAGGAGATACTACGACTGTAGAAGCTGACTCGACTTTGCGTCTGTAGGGCGTACCGTTCGATGAGGACGATGCTATGTTCAGTCCACCTGCATCTCGTCGTCACTCGCAGTTTTCGGTTCTGCAAAGCCCGCAGATAGACATTGACGTGACGCCGGTTGTCCATTCACAACCGCAATCTGAGACTGTGACTGTGAGTTCAGGCGCTTATTGTTTCTTTGATATAAGACCGTCTCATTCAGGATTGTCAGCCCAAGTCTCGGAAGCACAAGTCTTCACAGAAGAACCGTGTAATTCCTCCGGAAGAAGATATGCGACGCCTGTTCCAAGAGTGTAAGGTCGGTCGCGGCAACGCTGCGCTCCTGTCAGAATCGTTGGCATTTGCCAAGCCGGAAGATCTGCAAGAGAAAGACGTTATACGGGTGTGTTCTCTGCGAGTCTTTGTGGACGCTCCTGATATTTCCTCTTCGCTCAATTTAGGAATTTTATTATAAATGCCGTGCATCGCAAGAACTCATCTACGCACAAATCCCATGGGCGTCGGCAGGAGCAGAACGCTCCAGGCTTGCTGCGGCTGCACGGGATTCCGCCAACTTCCCGGGAACCGACGAGGAGCCGGCGGCCCCAACACCTGAAGAGCAGCTATTGGCAGCACTTCTTGAAGCGAACGAAGAGCTTCAAGAGGCACTCAGGTTATATGATGACCTTGAGAGGGTCGGCCTTGAACGCCAGGCGGAGGAGAGGAGCCGAAAGGAAGTCCGCATGGATCGCTCGGTAAGTAGTTTACATCAGACGCTCGGATTGTCTAATGGGGTTTTCGAATAGAAACTTAATGCCGATGAGGATGGTCATTCGATGTACCCTGCCTCTTCTCCTTCACAATTTGCGGGAGGCTCTTCCTCTCATAGCCCATCACCTTCCCCATCGCCATCGCCGCCATCAACGCATGGTTTCCTCCCTCATGGCCATCGAGCATCAATTACTTCACCTGATTTCGACCATCCGCATCATTCTTTGGCACCCCCGCGCTCTGCTCCTCATGGCCCGCGCTCACCGACCCTTAACATAGCTCGATCACGAACTCCGTCATGGGAGCGTCAGTCAGTGGCGCAGTCCGGTCGTCAGTCAATGCTCAGTGTAGCAGAGCTTCGCCGCGCCTCACAGAACGGAGGTCGCCAATCCGAGGACAGCTCTGTTGATGAGGAATATGCGACCCCTGTCAAGCCCAGCGCCAAAGCCCTCGGGAAGCGGCGCCAGGTTGACGCCGATGACTCGAGTAGTGAGTTTTTAATGTTCTCGAATTATCACTATAATGACTAGGACTGTCCTTAAGCTCGTTTTGATCCCGATGACATCTTTCTGGAGCATAGAGATCGACTCAACGGCTCAGAGGATGATCTTGCTTCGGATGCGGACGATGCGGAACTTAGGCGGTGGCATCAACCTGTCCATTACGTCTATGATGCAGCAGCAGAGCGTACGGAGCAGCGACTGAAAGAAGGTCATCTGGGGCTTGTCAATGGTGTCCGGTAGCATACGTCGTGGTGCTTGACTACAGTGCTGGATTCCAGCCATCATATTCCGTACTTGATATTAGTCGAAGGAATAATGTTTTCACTCGATCCCACTGCAAATCTATCTCTAGCTTTGCGGCTGGAGCCAGCCTCTCATTCTGGCAACCTGAGCCAGTATAGGTTCCGCCGACCTCTGTTCTTCATTCCTGCACAGTGCCCGTCCCTCCATGTCATCCATCTCAGCAAATCTTCTCCATTTCTTCAGGCCATCGTCCTCCACGTTCAGGGCTTGGACTATATTCTCGAGATACGCGAGGTCCGAAGCAAGCTGGGCTGCACCTCCACTTGTAAGTCTTTGTAGCCTCGGCAGGATATCCGTTAGAAGGTAGGATAACAAGGTACGTCCTAGAGAGTATAACCATACGGACAGAATCATCTCAGGCGTAAGAGGGCGTAGTCGCTGCCCTGGCTTTATAGATAGCGAACCGGACCTCCGTGAATGTCCTGAAGCTGACCCAACCGCTAGGTGCGGCTCCTCCGATAAGACTCTCGCCAGCTCTGTCTCGGCATGGGGTAGAGTCTCTATAGAGAAGGCAAGCACATCGTCATCCGCGTAGACCTCAAATAATCGCGGAAGGTTGAGAAGTCCCTCTGCAACTCTCTGCATAGTGTCCGAGGGAGAGAGCGAAAAGACTGGTATTTGTAGGTCACCAGCTCTTCCAGAACTGTGTACGGTGCTGGTATTGGACCAAATGGTCAGATGGGCATACGTCTCGAGACGTTTGACCAGCGGCGATAAGATGACGTCTTGCAGTGATTTCTGAGCTGTACCAGCAAGGGCAACCAAGGCTCTCCTAGCGTCATGCAACATCTCGGCAGAACCGCGCACCGTGAATGCAGAGACGGCTGACTGATCACCGGATTGCTCATCTCTCGACACTAGCGACTGTAGAAAATTATAGAAGTCTTTGGAATTGAGAGCGGACTGAGCAAGGAGGTGGATCTCGCCACTTGTCATTCCCGCGGGTTGAGCACCAAGGGCATCGCTCCGCGTGATATCGTTCTCCGTCAAAGCACGCGTAATTACCGCGCGTGCTTGATTTTCAAAGGTAGCTAGCCGCTCTATGGAAGCTCGGGTAGCATCCAGGAAATGCAGCAATTGCTGAATCTTTGACCAATCCTCCGTAGTATAGTCGAGATCATACAAGTCATCTTGCGCGGTCTTTCTCGTTTGTCCGCCAATGAACACATCCAGTTGGCCGGCGAAGACTTTGACTTCGAAGGATTGGACGAAGGATGCGAGGATGCTGTCGAGACCGTGCATGAGTCCGGGAAATCCATACCCATGCGTAAAGTCGATACATCTCGTCAATGTCCCGTCAGCCAGGTCAAGGATTTGTGCAAATTCGTCCCGGAGGTACCGCGAGATATCACCCTTGAACTGAGGCTCGTCGCCGACCATGCCGCCCAGTTGCATCTCCAGGTGACGTTTTTCCAAAATCGCGTAAGACGTCTGAGGTTCAACAAATGGTTCGAAAAGAGCCAAATCCCAGTCATCGGCACTTTCTGTGGATCTACCCGGAATGTCAGGAATAGTGGACCGACTTCCGCCGTGGCTTGATAGCGACACGGACAGGCGGCGACTCAGTCGTCGGGCATGCACTCTATCCGAAGATCGACGAGGAGGTACAGGCCGTGACTCCGGGGACACAGGTTCCAGAGTATTCAGCAACCTTTGGATCTCAAGTCCAAAGGTCTCCGTGGCCTTGAATACTGCCACCAACGGTATAAGTACCGCGGGATTGGGGTCATTGGCCATTGTCGTTATTTTCTGGCCTAATGAAGGTTGTAAGGAGAGTATAGCAGATGTTATCAGCGCTGATAACGTCTTTCGAGGTTCCGGAAATATTTCGGATACGGAAGTCCGTTCACTAGCGATGACGTGCATGAAGGAAGAATAGAAATCGGGGAGAGAGGCGGCAAAAACGGCAGACGGAGCTTTTCCCGGAGGCGAACTAGATTCTTTTGCTTGTATCTCGCGCCATGATACAAGGAGTGGTTCAATCCGTGACCCGACGTAGTAATTGAAGAACTCGGCCTCCCTTTGAATACGGCTAAAAATCGTGAAATACTCACGGCAAGCTTTCATGTCTCTATCATGGACAGCTGCCACCAAAGCTGAGCTTAGCGCAGCTTCTAACTGATTCTCCAAGCTCACCACGACATTGCGTCGCGCTTCGTATTCCGAGGTGTTCTGGAACACAAACATATTTTCGCTGGCTTCGAAGAGTCTCTCCGCCGCCTTGTCATAGTTTCTTTCGGCTAGTAACGTCGCGACTTCAGGTTCCAGGCCACTCCAACTTTCTGCTTCGCGGAGAACGTTCTTTGCAGCTTCCATGTTAGTCTTCATACTGTCCAGTAGGTGCAACCTGTCCAACACTCGCTCCGTGTTGGCTTGAGCAGCGGAGTCCGAGGTATTCGTGATGCGATGAAGGGACTCTTGCAAGGCGAGAGACCCCTCTCTCATGAAATGTAAGTCATAGGCAAGTCGGGGAATTCCCCGTGAGACATCATCGATTAGACGTCCAAGCTGGGCGGAGTTCTCTTCGTAAGCGACCTCCAATGCAGCAGTGACTTGTGCAAGGCTCCTGTCCAGAGCCAGAAGATCTAGCGATTCAGACAGGTGGTCGGTGGCGGGAGAAGCAACGTCATTGATCCAGGCTATCAGGGCTGAAGAGTCTCCCACAGGTCCGTCGTAAATCTTGTCTAGGGAATTCAAGAGGTCCACAGGTGATGGCATATTCGAAGACACTGTCTCGCTCATGGAGCAGGATGAAAGGACCAAACTGGTTGCTCTCAGGCTGGGATGCGCAGATGTTCTCAACCCTAACCCTAGACGCTCCCAGGCGCCAGCGCGCGGAGAAACCCGTGAATCGACTGGCCTAGTCATGCTACGGGTTCTGAACCAGGGTTCCAAGAGGGGCGTCAAAACAGGACCCCTGATAATAGGTATCAAGGCTTTGTGGAAATGCGGACAAATCAAGCAAAATTAGACCTCCCCAGGCCTTATTTTTCGCGGACAGAAAGGCCCAAAAACGGGTGCACGTCTGATTTTTTTCGCATCCATAGGCACCATGTGCTATAGATGCCTTATGCTTGTGCAGACATCTATAGTCTCATGGTGCAGGGGTTACCACTTGACCCACGTATGATTCCTGGATACTAGGTTCAATCCTCAATGTAGGCATGTGTTTTCAACTTTTTCTTTATATAATGGATGTGGCCATTGTGGGTCCCTATCCCATCTCGTAGTAGACTATGTCTATCCAGCATTTATTAAGTTCTTGTAGTTCACATACTAAAAACATAACTGTGTCTATTTAACGAGTTCCATCTCAAATCGGAGATGGCAGAGTTGGCTCCAGCAGTGGAAGAACTGGCAAAACTCCGCCGCAAACGCAAGGCGGCGAGTGGTGTGGACAGGATTTCTGACGGTGAATAGAGTGGTGCTATAGATATACATTACTAGAAGAGCAAAATTGATACATTTTAATGCCTTGTCCTACAGCGCGGACAAAGGTCCTGTAAGCAGAGCCCTAATCAGAATCGCGGACATTATCGGCCAAAATCCGCTCAGGCCACATTTTTTGCGGACAAAACGGCCCCAAATCCGGAAGTTTAGCGTGGACAAAAAGGTTGGATTCTCAGAATTTAAAATGAAGCCTTGATACCTATTATCAGGGGTCCTATCAAAACACTACTTTCCACAACAACCAACCGAAACTTCTGTGTCACCCAGAATCGGCAGCAGAACACCATACTGCTGGTTAATATTCCTACCTCTTAGCAGATTCAATCCAAAAGAAGGGATGTAGTCAGAGAAGTAATATCCCCATATAATATATTGATTACTATGTGAGACTGCTGCAAATGTGAAGCAATACACCAAATTTGGGCGAGTACAGAATATATTGCTACAGTAAATATTGCGACTCAACTTCAGTGATGAGCTAAATTTTGTATCTCCATATGCAGATGAATGAGAAAACAGCATAAAATATAAGGCTATGAGACAAAACAGAAATAAATATTCGAGAAATAGTTGTATATTTGAGCCACGCTCAAAATGCCCTCCTAAATATCATATTCGTCGCAGACCCACAGATAATTGGCCTGCCAGCGGCCCACTCACGGCCCACTCACGGGCCGCGTGAGGCCCGCCTCGTGCCCGCCTTGTCTCCTGAGCGGCTAAGGCCGCTGCTAGCCGCTCCCTTTGTTCAGTTCTACATAAAATAGTTGAAATCATGACAGAGCACCGACATAAGATACACACTTGAGACAACTCCAGAATCACAACCTGCTGCGTTGACAGCGGCCATCGAGCGAACTGAGAATAGACCCATTGCAACTCGACCACTTCAAGTCTGTCATCCATCGACGAGGAATACATAGAGGCCGGATAGTCCGCTCCTCACTTGGAGAAGAGGTCTTTTGACTTGTCCAGCAGAGGCAGCTGGCGCCTTACAGCAAGCTTCAGATGTCCTTCCTCACCATAAATGTAGTGGATTGATCCAGGGATGGGTGAAATGGACAGGTCTCCCCGAGGGTAGTACATCACAAGACTGTTCCCTACATGAGACTCTGAGGATGAGTACATGGTTCCACCAGACCTCACATGCGCACAAAGTGGCCCTTGTCGCATCTGCATCAGTGCCTGCAGGTCCGACGGGAAGGATTGGATCGGTGTATCATCAAATGTCCCATCCTCGTACTTCGAGCTCTTCGAGCCAAAAGCCTGGTCAATGAATTCTTACAATGCTTGATGGCGGGAGGACAATTGGGCCTAGCAATCCAGCATCTTAAATTTGCTCCACGTAAGAATGAGTGAACCATTGTGGATTCAATCTCTCCTGCCCAAGTATTGGTTAGATAGTATGCCAACCGGAAACTCAGGACTCACCTGGTTTATGATTGTGCTGCAACCACTGGACCATTCCCAAGAGCCGCTCAAAGGGAAAAGCCCACCACCAATGTGCCGGTCCAAACAGAAGTAAAAAGTCATAAACATGTACTGAAACACGCAGCAGAGGAAATGGGGTGACATGCGGAAACACTGCCAAAAGACCATCGACATAAGCCAAGATATGCTCCAAATATGCTTTTGCATGTTCCGTAGTCATTGTCCGTAAGCATGCCAAACAGAGGGCACAGACAAGGTGCATAGCACAATTCAACACCAGGCTATACTTCAGACGAATTTCGGCAGGAGCATGCTCTGATGGGACACCCCATGAAGTGACCAGTGCAATCGGCAGGTAAATCCATGCTATAGTGCGCCATTGGGCAGCTTTGAGAGTGCCGGCGGCGGCATCCCTGAAGTTCCGAGGGACATAATCGACCCACGAAGGGATTTCAGTATCTCGGATAACATCGCAGAGGTGTTGAAGTACATCGGCAGTGCCCACACATACAGCCTCTGCTCGAGTTAAAGGTTTAAGGCGCTATCAGTTTATTAAGCAGCCAGTTAGGCAACCAACCATGAACGGCATACCCATTCCACCAACGCAGAAGCATACTGATCACGGGTGACAGTGGACCCAGAGATCGATAGCTTGCAACCAACATCTTTGGAAACAAACCGAAGGGCTTTTAAATGAAGCTGAGAGAGTCGTCGTCTCAGGGTATTGCGCCAGTCTTCCATCGCATGTTCATCATTTAATTTCTCTTGAGGTATGGGTTCGCGAAGAGCCTTATGGATCCGGGTGATGGTCGATTTTTCCGTTTCCGTCAAGGGCCCAGCATTGCTATATGTGGTTGTAAAGTCGTAGTCATATGCAGTATCGACCTTGAGCTTCTGAGAAACTTTGTCTGCAGTAAGACCCGCTGCATCACACACGAAATGCTCTGCCCAGCCTGAGAAAAGCGCATGCATGGGCTCGGGTGCCAATTGTCGAGTGATATTCCAGTATGGAAGTCACCATAATTCTGACCATCGCACACCATAGTTATCAAAGATGTCCTTCCTTCCATTTTCATTTGTCGCATCTCGCCATTTCATGGCACTTGCTCGCATCATATGATTGTTAAGCTTTTGCCATGAGTGGTAGTTCTTATCTCCCAGTTTCTCTTTCCCATATAGCAAGCATATAGTGCAGATGTGATGAGACATATGACTCGCCATTTGAGCTAGACAGCAGGCGCCAGGCAAATCATTCACAACTATCGCAATCGCACTGCGGACTATCCTTGCCAAAGTTTCATTTGAAGCAGAGCGGGAAAAATGATGGCCACGCATCCAGGAGAATAGGAAAACATTGATTAGAGGACGTATATAATTATTGGGCTCAGTCAGGGAGGGTTCCTTTGGACCAGGTATGACACCGACGAGGTAGACATTTTCTACCTTGCTCATGCGCTCCACGCTGAGATGACATCGAGATGATAGTGGATGATTTGGTTGGGCTGCAAAGAGTCATTCCCTCCATTGAGAATCCATCCACATTAAGTGAAAAGCATGCCCAGACCTCGCCACATCGATCGATGAAGAGCTGCTTCTGCTCAGCGGTTGACGTCGGTCCCTTGAACAACCTCAAAGAATTGGCTTGGAAGGGAGACCTGACAAATTCTGGAGGAAGCTGAGCCGCTGAGGCTAAACCTTCATCGCATGTGCTATCTAAAAGTGCTTCTATATCTTCTCGAGCCAGAAGGCCAGCCATATAGTCTTCGTAGTTATGCATAACGAATGGCCTGATTGGTTTCATCTTCCACTCACCACCAGTGGTGTCTGCTTCAATGAGTGGAGAGCCACACTCCGCATCTGACCCCAGATGCGGCTTGTTCATGCAGAAACTTGGGTAGATAGCGTCGGATGATCCGCTATGGTACTGAGGCTCATACATTGCATGACAACTAGAACATAAAGCGTATGTTGTAACACACCCATCTAGTTTGAACTTTGAAAGCACCATATGAATTGTCTGAGGAATTTGTGAGAGGATCAAGTGCTGTTCTCTTGTCAACCGTCTACCATGCATGGAAAATGCTAGGGAAAGGATAAATGAGAGCATGGACAGGACGAAGGCCCCAGCATTGCGATTCACTCCAACAATGACGGTGCAAACTACAGCACAGAAGAGTGACACCTGAACCATAACATTGAGCTGATCGATGGGTTGGCTATAATGGTCGTCTGGTGTTGATGATACTGGTCAGATTGGCTCCTGAAAGAGTAGCCAATACGTACCACAGTTATATTTGATGGGTCCTGCATCATCGGGTACCAATTGTGCAAGTTGTAGCAGGTAGCCATCGAACGTCTGCAGCTGTTGGCAAACCACTTCTTTCCTCTTGTCAACACGTGTCATTTGTATAGTGTTGACTTGGCACTGAAGATCTGCCAATTTCTCCTGCATTTCTTTCAGGAGAGCACCAGATAGACATAAGTCCTCATTGCGGAGCGTCTTCAGACAGTCATCGATTGTCTGGCTAACACCATCCAATTGATGAAGCACCCTCTCTGTCTTGACATGCCGTTCGTTGGGAGGGAGAGAATGGACAGTCTGGGCTAGCGGTGCAGTTTCGGGGCCCGCCACCATGTCCGATGGCCCAGAATCTCTCATATCGGAGTCAATATATGCTGAGGCTGACAGTGCGGTGTTGGTAATGACTTCGACAGCTATTGCCCCTGGAGTACCATCCACTTCCATAGGGTGTTCCTGCTCTTCACTAACAGGCACAGATATTCTGGTGACGAATGGATGAGCGGACTGGGAGCGGCCTTCATCTGTCGCTGGCCCGTCTGTAAAAATTCCTTGGTATGAAGACGGCTCCTGGCCCTCCATAGAATCATCGGGTCCGAGGGTGAGTGCACTGAGGTGATCGACCAGAACCTCGGCAATGGTGTTAAATGACAGGTTTGGGGGGGGCAACTTCCGCAGGCAACTCGTCGTCCATCACAGTAGTCATAACCAGAGCTGAGCTCACAACGTCTCTCTCAGGTTCAACTGCAGCTGGGCCTGCGACGACTTGAGGAGAGGGATGCTGAATGGGAGGATTGGGATGCTGCGGTGCTTCAGTGTTGGGAGAAGGATTAGAAATACGGTGTATTTGATGATCTTCCACTGTTTGAGAAACACCATTGGGTGACACCTTGAGACATTCCAAGCACATACAAACTTCCATTCGGCGATGCACGGTACGGCACTGATGGACAGGAGCAGGTGGTGCAAGGGCTACTTGGTGTGCCCTGAATTGGACTAGAGGCAACTTTACCCCCGATGGATTGATGCATACACCATACTGGGCAATGGCAAATGTACTGTTTGCCTGAAGGTGCCATTTGGGAGCTGATGGAGGAATTGGAGCCACGTGCAACGGAACGGGAAGACACAACAGAGCAGCAGAATCCCTAGACAATGTCGCGGGGAGCACTACCAAGGCCGCACAGACAGGGAGAAACGACGAAGGTGTGGAACTCCCTAATATGAACCTGAAAGATGTGCATGGGTATGCATGAGTACGGGACACCAGATTACTATATGGAAGCACCTACTCGAGTGTGTCCGAGCACCTGTTGATGCACCACCGGGAGGGATCCAAAGTAGATGGTCGGCGCAGCCCACCTAAGTACTATTGCGACGTTGGTTTGTTGAAGCCTTCTATCCGTAGTCTGATGAAACTCCCTGGACAATGATAGTCCGCTGTGCCAACCATCGCCATTCTTGCTAGAGTGTCTTCAATGTTGCCAGCACTCCCCGGACAGGTCACAGGAAGTGCAAGAAATCGCCAGTGGGTTGCCACTCCTCGGACAAGTTGCAGGGAGTAGGAGGAATCGCCCAAGTGTGCCACTCCCCGGACAAGTCGCAGGGAATGAACCCGAGGGACTTGGGATGAGCTGTGCAAGCTGCTCACCAGGGTGAGCACGTGCCGCTCTTCCACGCCTGCACAGCTGCAGTGTGCTGGCGAACCTCACCGAGTTCGATGTTCTTTCTCATGCTCCCTGCAACATGTCCGGGGAGCGGCACCCTCTAGATCTGGTGATTTTCTTGTGCTCCCTGCGATTTGTCTGGGGAGCAGCACCCACTGGCGATTTCTTGTACTTCCTGCAACCTGTCCAGGGAGTGCTGGCAACATCAAAGACAATCTAGCAAGAACGGCGACGGTTCCACTGGTGATTTCTTCTTCTCCCTGTGACTTGTCTGGGGAGTGCAGGCAGCATTGAAGACACTCCTCTAGCAAGAATGCTCACGGTTGTCACAGCGGACGACCTCCAGACTATCCTGCCGGTGCCTCGTGCAACATTGTCGAGGTAGTGGCAAATGTCATCCACATTGTCTATATCAGCCGATGCTGTAGGATTAATGTATTAGATCCCCTTTGTTACTGTAAAGCCTTTTACATTAAACAGCCTTTACAATTGTCTGTAATGTTGGAATGACAGGATGTGGCGAGCTCGCATAGGCGGCCCGGAGCGGCCGCTCACACCCTTATCTGATTTTTATCCGATAGTACCTTACCGTAGAGCTCATATATACCTGGGTAGCGTACATTTTGTCCTCACCGCATTTGCTCCGTACTACGACACTGTACGCGCAAACGCGCCTTACTTTCGTTTTTGAATCTATTCGCTATAAAAATCTCACACAAACGCGGTCATACCAACGTTTCGACATTCATTTTACTGCCGCCGAGGGCCGAATCTCGCGCCGACGATCTTTTGCGTTCTCGAGGACGCTCGTATTGCCACTGGGGCCGAAGCCAGCTATCGAACAGCGATACGCCTGTGCGAAGGGCTCGATATCATTAAACGCTAAGTCACAATCTTATCCTACGATAATCGCTCGCTGCTACGATGTCAGACTCGAATGACGGGAATGTGCGTTTCGCGAAGCTCAACGACACGAACTATGCTCAGTGGAGCGTGCGAATGGAGGCCGTTTTGATCCGGAAGGGCCTTTGGGATATGGTGGCGGTGGACCCCCCGACCGAGGCTGAGGTTGAGAAGGCGGCACCGGCGGATGCGTACGAAGTGAAGAAGGCGAAACGAGGGCCGAAGAAGATGCAGGAGGCACGGGCCGAGTTGATCCTCGCGGTCGAGGATTCGCAGCTCGCCCACATGCGCTCCCGCGATCCACTCGAGATTTGGGACACGCTTGCGCAGGTGCACCGGGCGCGAGGTTTCGCGATGCGTTTGGCGTTGCGGCGCCAGTTCCTTACGGCGATGAAGAAGCCGAAGCAGTCGATGCAGGCGTGGATTGGTGACGTGAAGGGCCGCGCTTTCCAACTCGAAGACATCGGCGTGACTGTCTCGGACGAAGATATCATCCTTGTGCTTACTATGGACTTACCGGCATCGTTCGAGGCCGTCGTCATCGCTCTTGACTCCATCCCTAGTGACCAGCTCACCCTCGAGTATGTCATCAGTCGCTTGCTCAATGAAGAAGCCCGCCAGGTTACACCAGCAACTACGAGGCCTCGGGTGAAGACCGAGCCGTCTGACGAAGCGCTAGCGGTCACCTTGGTCCGACGCCGCACCCCTTTGGAGGCGATTACCTGCTTCTCGTGCCAGAAGAAGGGTCACTACCAGGCCGACTGCCCGATGAAGAAGGAAACCGCTGCGCTCATGGTTGAGGAAGACAGCGAGGACGACGCGTGGTGATTCAGGGGGTGTATACCTTGAGGGGGTGCTATTCGTATGGACAATATTTCTCTTATTGATATGTTATTTTTCTTCGCTTACTGCCTATGCTTCGCTCGAGGGGGTGTGTTGGAATGACAGGATGTGGCGAGCTCGCATAGGCGGCCCGGAGCGGCCGCTCACACCCTTATCTGATTTTTATCCGATAGTACCTTACCGTAGAGCTCATATATACCTGGGTAGCGTACATTTTGTCCTCACCGCGTTTGCTCCGTACTACGACACTGTACGCGCAAACGCACCTTACTTTCGTTTTTGAATCTATTCGCTATAAAAATCTCACATGTAATGTATTAGATTTCCGAGTACCCTATGCAGTGTCAGGCAGTGCTGCTGAGCTGGAATATGACAGCCCCGGCATCCCTGGCATGGAGATCCAAATTGGGATTTGATCTGAGCTGTTGCCAATAATAGGTGGGTAGCCATACCTGGCCTGTAGGGCCCAGAAAAATGCGGGAAAATACGGAAAAATTACAATATATTTCTTGGGACAGGCATCAGGGTGCCGGAGCTGTACATAGCATGGGAATGTTTCTAGAGTGCCACACATCAGCAATTAGCAGCTCATATAAAATCAGGAAAAATGCACAAACATCTGGGGAAAAATCATGGAACCTGCTGTGGATGATGGCACACATGTGGCATCACTATATTACATCAGCACATGCCAAATATGGCAGCAATTGATATGGGATACCTCCAGGATCTACATTTCAGCCTCCTTCCATATCAGGGGTTTATTTGTCCTTACTGTCAATGTTGTTACTAACGTAGCGGTTAAAACAGTGCATAGGAATTGGGAGTGCTTGTCCTAATCATGTGTAGGTACCATGGGCTGCACATTGCTGTACAAAAATTATTTTCACCGCCGGCTCTGGGACAGTTTTTCGCATTTTCCCACACTATTGCTATGCCACGTTGCTGGGCATTTGGGGATCTTACTCAGCCCATATAAGGCTACATGTTTGCATAAGACTCCAAGAGATTCTGAGCAACAGGTGGCTAACTACTGCTTTTGGGCATTACTCCTCCTATGGACACCCCATGACTACCACTTGTGTTACTATGGGTTATAACACACCTCCCTTAGTGTATATTTGCATGTACCATCATGTGTATTATTTTTGGGCCCACCCAGACCACCCTTGGTGACTTGGCACCAGTCATCCTCAAAAACACCTATATCACACCACCCCGGGACAGCCAATGCACCTATAGTCATGGAAACACCTCTAAACACATTATCAACGATGCCCCCTACAGAGACTGATATTGGAGTAAAGTATGTACATAGTGTATATTATGTGAGCCTGCACCTTACAACCCTTGTCCAGTGCATCCCTCTTTGCGCCATCATTACCTGTAAAAGCTGCCATAGTGTATCCACCCTGTCGTACGACAACATCATTCAACCAGCTTCCCGGGCTGGCTACAATCACTGCCACACAACTTGCGACAAGACCGCTGCCAATGATGCCAACCCATCCCCAGCTGTCTTCGGCGGGAGGGAGTGGTGACGGAATACATTTACATGTCGGCCCATTCATCCACTCATCCAACTCTGCCGCGTAACGGGTGAGTTGCGATGTCTAGTAGACAGATGAATAGGAAAATCAGGATTGTGGACAAAGTTCCATACCGGAAATGCCGGGCAGAATATCCCGGTGAGCCCTACAATCTCC